TTGCTGTGGTCACTTGCGCCTGAGGATAAAGTTCGTATATTTGTCAGCAATGAAAAAAGAATGAAAAAGGTAGCCAGGGTTAGATCTAAAGAGGAGAGTGTTCTAACAAAGGCACAGCGGTAAATATTTCAGATCTATCCGATCATATAAAATGATATCAGTAAGTTTGTGAACGTGTAAAACTTTTGCATTTTTTTAATTAGGGAGAAACAAAGACAAATTTGGATGAATATAAAAGCAATTGAGATATTAAACAAGCAGAAACGTTTGTCAATTATTTTAAACGACACTAAAATAATTAAAAATAATTAAATGGCTTAAATTTTTTTTAGGTAAACAGGAAAAAGAAAAAAAAAGGAAATACTTTAATTTCTGTGAAATTAAAGTATTTCTATTGTCTTTACAAAAATTGAAATCGATGCATAAGTTCTGATGATTTAACTCAAATGGTGGTTTCGGGTAAAAGAACAGTCCATGATAGTTGGTTTGGCTTTGAACATTCTAACATAGCAGATGAAATAATGGCCGTCATTACGATGGGCATGCAAGCCAGTTTCATACGTAAATTAATGTTGTGGCGTTGAACTTTTCTATCTTTTCAAATAAAAGGAAAGCATTGTTAAGATATGGAATTTATTTTGTTATTTCTCTGCAACTGATAAGTTTTTACAAATACGAAGATTATTCAAGTTACATGCCACACTTTCTATCGGTTTACCAGCGTAATAACCCACACCGGATGTTGGGAGAACACGAAAACAATGTGTGAATCACGAGGCGTAGGCGATTGCATAATTTACAAACTTTTCGAGTATTCTCTCTTCATCCAAAGTAGGTTATTACGCCGGTAAACCGATAGAAAGTGCGGTTTATTGCTTTAAAAAATAAACTTTTAATTTCTTGGGATATATTATTCCATTAAAAGATACGTTTTTGACAAAAAAAACGCGCTCATTTTATTTCTGTTATTTTCTAACGGAAAACAATTAAACAATGGCCGTTATGGCAGTAGACCGGTGAGTTTAATCTTAAATGAATGTCATGTTATTACAGTTTTTGTCATTTTTATTTTAAAGAAAACTTTTCATCGTAAGTCAGAATGAGATATGGAATTTATTTTGTCATTTTCTGTGGGACTAATTAGTTTTACCAATGAGAAGATTAATTTTTACCTATCCAAAAGATATTTAGTAATTAAAGAGACAAGAGCTCTGCAAGCAATAATTAAGACAATTGTTTAAAAGTTTAAAAAACCGATATCGAATAACAGTACACTCATTGCTTGGTCTTATATACGTGTCCCCATTTCAATTTGGGCCGCACATTCAAGAGACAAACAGGTAAGAACCATTTGAGATAAACTGTTCGTGCTTTATCTGTGGAACGCCATAAAGTCCTTTTACCCGTTGATAGCCGGAGCATTAGATAAGTAGAGTTAATTACGATCACAGTTTCTCTTACAGTATGTCTCAGATATTTCCAAGACCATGGCTTCATCTGAAAGGAAGATCTTTTGCAAAATAGCGAGGAAACTGCCTCTGCAACCCCTTTTTTTCGGCTTGTTAATAATCGGAAAAACAATTTTCTCAAATTTTAAAATTTTGAGAGATTTTATCGAAGCAAATTGAAGAAAATCAAAAGCAAAGCCAGATTATCGCTGGCGAGCGCCTCCCTTTGTGGAACCTTAGCTTCATGATAACGAAAATCGTTTTGATAATATTTACTACAGCAAACGATAGTAAAAACCATGCTCGATGCCTTTTGGTGGCTTTTAGTGACCTTGAAAAGCGAAAACATAAAAATTCTCTGAAAAAACATAACGCTGGCGGGCGCGCCAACATTGAGCAAAAACCCTTAACAGAGCCTCGTCAAGTCAATTTATGGCCAGCACTAAACCCACTCACTCACCCACAAAACTGTTTAACCCGGCATGCCACCAAGAGGCCTATTTTATAATTCTCAAATACTGATTAATCTTTTGTTTAGTCATGTTTAAAATATTCAAGGTCATTATCTATTAATAACAAATTCTAGACTGATAATTCAGCCATATCCTTTATTTTACATAGGTCATCGTTTTCTTTTTAACTCATTCATTGCGTAGCAATGGATAAGTTATTGTGGAGAGGAGAAAACGGCGTTAGCAGAAGTCTGTGTAGTCAAATGTGGCAGCTTGAGTAGAAATGGCGGAGGTGACGTAATAAAGTGGTTGAACGTGAGCAACAGCTAACCATGTAACCACCCTGCCTTAACTGCAAACAAGCCACTTTCTGGATGATTGCGAAACACCTCGACGGAATTTTAATTCTTCAATGTAGGTATTTAATTTTTCGGTAAATAAACTAATCAAAATAAAATTTCTTTCTTCTCCGAATTAAGCCCACGTCTCGCGTATCATGCCCGTAAAGGCAGATATATTTTGGAAAGAATTTTCAACTTTGTTTGTCTTTCAGACGTCATTTCTGCGATTAAATTTGCTCTATGTGCCAGTTTTTCATTTGCTCTAAAACGTACTACTTAACAAATAGAGAAGCCTTGACTGTGCTCTGTTCTGTTATAAAGCACGCAGGAAGCGGCTAGAGCACTCAAGAAGTGGGAAGAAACACTCGACTACGTCTCGTGTTTCTCCCTACACTTCTTTCGTGCTCTAGCCGCTTCCTAAGTGCTTTATAGCAGAACAGAGCACATTCAAGGCTTCTCTATTTGTTTTATAATAAAGAATCCGTTAAATTACCCAAGAATTACTTTCAATTTTCAAAACAAACTTTATTTCCAAAGCGAACAACAGTGTCGTCAGCATGCTCTATACTCTCCTAAAGCACGCTACAATATACCAATCGGAATCCTTGTTAGAATGGTTCAAATAATCTGATTGGCTGTACAAGACTAAAGCTGTAAAAAGTGTCAAACCATCAAAGTTCACATTCTACGATAATTTACAAACTAAAATAGTTCGGCAAGTCAAATTTACCGGTAACGATTGTCATACAGTGTTTGAAACGAGCGGACCGTTAATGTATTTTCTCTTGAAGTAACTTCCTCTGACTTCTTCAGAAGCAAGATAAGCCGTCAGTATAAAATAAATTGGAATTCAGCCGCTTGTGACATAATAGTTTGTTTTCAGTTCATGTTTTCACGGCAAGGGGCCGCGAGTAGCTTGGAGTGATTGAAAATGCGGTCTAGAGCTTATAAGCCAGGACAGGACGCAGTTAAGCTGTGTTCGCTCAATATTTGTTTTCCTTAAGGCCCGTTTACGCAGGCAGGCCTTAAGGACTGATCGCAGAAGTCTAAATTGTCAATGTTCAACCACTGGCGCGATGAGTATAAAAGAGTATGCAAGCCAAGAAAACAAAAAGGTGTTATTTTCGCACCTTTTTACGTTTGACTGATTTCACTTTTTCCGCTTGAAGTGCGCAAGTTTTTTGGTCTATTGAAGCAAATAAACCTCGCTGTTGAAGGCAAAACAATGGGTGCGATTTTCGCACCTTTTTCCGTTTCAGTGACTTTATTCTCCGGTTGGCCTCAAGTTCTTAAGCAAAAAATGTTCATCACTGCATTAGGTGAGTGAAAAAAAAATGGTGACTTGTTTGGACTTGCTTGTTTAAACCGTCGTTTTTTGTTCCTTTTTTTTTTTCGAAACGACTCCCTACCTTGCGCGCGCTCACGTTTCTCGTAGATTTGTTTTTTTTTTTTATCCGCTCACGCGATTTATCAGTGGTACTTGCATAAAAAGGCCTCGTAAACGCAAGTCATAATCACTTTAGATTATCCCTTACTGAGAGAATAGCTAAGAACACAAGCAAGTTTTACGAAGTCTCGAAAGTGCTCGATAAGCGTACAGACGCCCACGGTCGCGTTCAGTACCTCGTCCGCTGGCGTGGCTATGGAAAGAAGAACGATAGCTGGGTGGATGAAGCCGACAAACGAGCGCCTTAAACAAGTGTTTAGGACACGCCACCAAGGAACTCCGGGCTTGCTGCAGACCTTAGCTGTGTTAGTGGCAGAAAAGCTGAACATGAAGAAACCGCCAACAACCTGCATCGTGAGACGTTCGTCTGTCACCATGCCGATGGATGCCGAGACCTTTAAAGAGTTGTTCGGTGGTCTTCCTTCCGCGCCAAATCTTTTGCAAGCGACCAAGTTTTCTGTGCCCATTCACGAGCTTGACGCCATAATGCCTGCCGGATGGTCACTAAATACCTTCAAAACCTCCACGACTTGTCGGTTACAGCCCGGTTGGGGTTCAACCAGTCAGGTTCGACAGTTGCGCGTAACAAACTGTCAAACCTTCCAACGGGGAATAGAGGGCGATGTGTGACGAGATTAAACAACGGCTGCGAAGGAGACTACAGTAAGCGTGGTACCGATGCATTTCATTTTTGTTCAGAAGTACCAAGACAATAAAGACAAGGGACCACAATATACCTGTGTGAGTTTAGATAAAATAGGCTTTTTCTCTTTCTCTTAAAGTGAAGTAATGCGATATTTTCGTTCTTTTGAAAGTTGTGAAAACATTAGGAACACAAAGTGTCCCATCTCGAACTACCCAGCTTAAAAAGTAACTCTTATATGCTATGCATGCCTATATTTTAATTCCATTCCCAGGTCCAGGGAAGGAGGAAATTGTTCGAACAGACCTAAGAGACAAAATGATTCAAGAAACAAACAAACCGGTACAGTATCTAGGAACACAAGAGATTTTCTTCAAAGAGAGACCGTTTCCAGGTGACTAGGATTCTACCACGAGACAGTGACACTCAGTGTTCTGAGGGAAAACCTGAACAGGTTACGCGATCAAAAAGCTGTGGTACATCATGAAAGGAATTCGTGCTTTCTTACATGATGGATAAGCAATACCGCTGGATGTTGTTGATGCATCGGGGCTTCAGTCGGAAATTCAGTGGTTCCTGTTTAAACTGTGATCGCTGTTTCTTTAAGGATTTGTTGTTTTGTTAAAGGTTACAATACAGCATAGCCTTTTTGATATCATTCTATTCTTTATTGATATCGTGTTACAATTTCCTTCAAGGCTTTACGCGCTTTTTGCGGTGAAGCTCACTCAATCAGGAACGCTCCAAAGTAAGAGGGAGCAGTCGCCATGAAAAGTGTGACAGGTGTCGCGGTTAGTAATTCTATGGTGTCATTAGCCTCAAAATAAAACGCTCCCCCTGCATAGTGGGGTCCTTCTGGTACGTTGTAGGGATGTTGAACCATGGTGATAATTTCGCGGTGATTCTTGCGAACTTCCACTCTCCCGCCGCTGCGAAAGTACAGTTGTGCGTAGACATAATACTCTCCATCTTGAGGCACAATCAGACGTCCATTACTGTATTTCATGCCGTCCTCGAGACGGCTGTGCGCGTCGTCCACGTCCCAGTCTGTAATTACTGTAAGGAAATTTTCAAGTTGACTATCAGTAAAACTGAGAAAGCCGTTGAAACAACAATAAAAAATTGAAACAACCTTGCCCAACGCCATAGGGAGTCACAAGTTTCCTTTTGGCCTCGATGTGAGCCAGAGGCTGACAATGGAACTACAATAAGATAAAAAAAGGGGAGTATTAGTTTTATATAAACTTATATAAACTTTCTAACCCACATTTGCGGGGACTTGACTACATCTTAATCTTCTAAAGACTAGAGTTTTTGTCTGTGAATATTTTTATAGGATGACCTGTGACTCAAGTTTTCAAATTCTCCTTTAAAAAAGATTTAGACTAGTCATTTATTTGTGAAAAAAATGCAAAACTGTAGAACTTGATTATGACGGATAGGAAAAACCGTCTGTGATAGAATGTTTAGAACAGATGGCAATCGGACTGAAATCAAGAGTGAACGTCCTCTCACTGAGGGGAATGAAGGACATCAGTGATTAAAGAAAGGTGATGAAATTAAATGAAAGCTGGATCGTCAATAAAAAAAAATATATCCAATTCTAATTCTAATTCTCACAAGTGAGGGACGAGGAAAAAAAAATCTAACCTTCAACGGGGAATCGAACCCTAAACGTTTTGTTTTCGCAATCCGACGCTTTACCATTGAGCTTCAGAAAATTATGAACAGTTTTTGCACTTGTCTTACCTGTGGCGATGGAGCCGCTTCCACGTTGACGTATATCAGAAAAACACAGGACAAAAGAATCTTCACCCCAAGAAAATTCATGATGTTGGGAATATCTGAGAGATACTGTAGGATGAATTGTTATTGTTCAGAAGGAGTTAATGCGCGAAATCAAAATGGCTTTCTACACGAAACACTACACCAGAAACTGAGCTTACCGTGACTAGTTGTCTCTTGTAAATGTAAGATCCGAACTGGGAAAGCAAGCAATGTGTCTGCTGTAATAGGATCCTACCAAAGACAACTTCGGAGGAATTGAAAAGCAATTAAGATATTAAACGAACAAGTACTTCTGCCAATTATTTTAAGCAACACTGAAATAATTAAAAGTAATTGAATGGCTTAAAAATTTCTTTAGATAAACAGGAAGAGGAAAGTAGAGAAATTCAAGTATTGCTTTTGTCGTTACAAAAATTAAAATCGATACATTACATCTACAGAAGTTGAAACAAATTTTCCCTTGTACATCTTAAGAGAGGGAGAAAATTGCACTTATTGCTCTTGAAATGTGCTTACTTGGTGTCTTTGGCGGTTTAATTATATCATTTTTTTCTTCTCGTTCTATAGATATCCCTTATTCGTTTGCTGTGGTCACTCGTGCCTGAGGATAAAATTCGTACCTTTGTCAGCAATGAGTTGACAAAGTTAGCCTGGGATTAGATCTAAGGAGGAGAGTGTTGTGACAAAGGCACAGCGGTAAATATTTCAGATCTATCCGATCATATCAAATGAAATCAGTAAGTTTGTGATCGTGTGCAACTTTTGCATTCTTTTAATTAAAGAGAAACAAAGACAAATTTGGATGAATATAAAAGCAATTAAGATATTCAAACAAGCAAATACTTTTGTCAGTTATTTTATACGGCACTAAAATAATCAAAAATGACTGAATGGCTTAAATATTTCTTTAGATAAACAGAAAAAAGGAAAGTAGAGAAATTAAAGTATTTCTATTCTCGTTAAAAAAATTGAAATCGATTCATAATATACACAGAAGTTCTGATGATTTAACTTGAATGGCGGTTTCGGGTAAAAGAACAGTCCAGATAGTTGGTTTGGCTTTGAACACATGTTCAAACACAGCAGATGAAATAATGGCCGTCATTACGATAAGCATGCAAGCCAAATACGTAAATTAATGTTGTGTCGTTGAACTTTTCTGTCTTTTCATAGAAAAGAAAACCATTGATGAGGTATGGAATTTATTTTGTTATTTCTCTGCAACTAATAAGTTTTTACAAATACGAAGATTGTTTAAACAATAGACCACACTTTCTATCGGTTTACCGGCGTAATAACCCCCACGGGATGTTGGGTGAACACGAAAACAATATATGAATCACGAGCCGAAGGCAATTGCATGATTTACAAACTTTTCGAGTATTCTCCCTATATCCAAAATAGGTTATTACGCTGGTAAACCCAAAGAAAATGCGGTCTATTGCTTTTAAAAAATAAACTTTTAATTTCTTGGGATATGCCATTCCACTAAACGATAGGTTTTTTGACAAAGTAGCGCACTCATAGTATTTCTGTAATTTTATAACTGAAGACAATTAAACAATGGCTGTTATGGCAGTGGACCGGTGAGTTTAATTTTAAAGGAGTGTCATATTATTGGAGTTTTTGTCATTTTTATTTTAAAGAAAACTTTTCATCGTAGGTCGGAATGAGATATGGAATTTATTTTGTCATTTTCTGTGGGACTAATTAGTTTTTACTAATGAGAAGATCAATTTTTTTCTATCCAAAAGATATTTAGTAATTAAAGAGACAAGAGCTCTGCAAGCAATAATTAAGACAATTGTTTAACAGTCTTTAAAAACTGATATCCAATACCAGTACACTCACTGCTTGGTCTTATATACGTGACCCCATTTCTATTTGGGCCGCACATTCAAGAGACAAACAGGTAAGAACCATTTGAGATAAATTGTTCGTACTTTATCTGTGGAACGCCCATAAAGTCCTTTTACCAATAACAGTTGATAGCCGGAGTATCAGATCAGTAGAGTTACTTACGATCACAGTTTCTCTTACAGTATATCTCAGTTATTTCCAAGACCATGCCTTCATCTGAGATGAAGATCTTTTGCAAAATAGCGAGGAAACTGCCTTTGTAACCCCTTTTTTTCGGCTTGTTAATGATCGGAAGAACAATTTTCTCAAATTTTGAAAATTCTGAGAGATTTCATCTAAGCAAATTGAAGAAAATCAGAGGCAAAGCCAGATTATCGCCGGCTGGCGAGCTCCTCCCTTTGTGGAGCCTTAGCTTCATGGTAACGAAAATCGTTTTGATAACATTAACTACAGGAAACGATAGTACAAACCATTCTCAATGCCTTTTGATGGCTTTTAGTGACCTTGAAAAGCGAAAACATAAATATTTTCTGGAAAAACATAACGCTGGCGGGCGCGCCAACATTGAGCAAAAACCCTAACAGAGCCTCGTCAAGTCAATTTATGACCAGCACGAAACCCACTCACTCACCCACAAAACTGTTTAAACCGGCATGTCACCAAGTGGCTTATTTTATAATTCTCAAATACTGATAAATCTTTTGTTTTGTCATGTTGAAAATATTCAAGGTCATCATCTTTTATTAACAAATTCTAGACTGATAATTCAGCCATATCCTTTAGTTTACGTAGGTCATCGTTTCCTTTTTCACTCATTCATTGCGCAGCAATGGATGAGTTAAATTGAGGAGAGGAGAAAACGGCGTTAGTTAGAAGTTTGTGTCGTCGAATGTGGCAGCTTGAGCAACCGCCGATCATGTAACCAGCCTACCATAACAGCAAACAAGCCACTTTCTGGATTATTACGAAACACCTCTAATTCACCTCTTAATTCTCTAATGTAGGTATTCAATTTCCGGTAAATAAAACTAGTCAAAATAACATTTCTTTCTTCTCCAAATATTTCCCGCGTCTCGCGTTTCATTCCCGTGAAGGCAGATATATTTTTGGAAAGAATTTTCAACTTTGTTTGTCTTTCACACGTCATTTTTGTGAGTAAATTTGCTCTATTTGCCATTTTTTCATTTGCTCTAAAACGTACTACAAATACACAAAAAGTGAAGTAACCTAGAATCTTACTAAAACTGTTTTAAGAACGCAAATTTCGATCTGGTTCGACGGTTGCGCGTAACAACCTGCCAAACGTTTCAACGGGGAATAGAGGGCGATGTGTGATGAGACCAAATAACGGCTGCGAAGACTACAGTAAGCGTGGTACCGATACATTTAATTTTTGTTCAGAATTATTTTGAAAATAGAGACAAGGGACCACAATATACTTATGTGAATTTAGATAAATTAGGCTTTTTCTCTTTCTCTTGAAGTGAAATAATGCGATATTTTCGTTCATTTGAAAGTTATGAAAACATTAGGAACACAAAGTGTCCCATCTCGAACTACCCAACTTAAAAAGTAACTCTTGAATGCTACGCATGCCTATATTTTAGTTCCCTTCCCAGGTCCAGGGTAGGGGAAATTGTTCAAACAGAATTAAGAGACAAAGTGATTAAAAAACAAACAAACCAGTACAGTATTCAAGAACACAAGAGATTTTCTTCAAAGAGAGACTGTTTACCGGTGACTAGGATTATACCACGAAACGATGACGCTCAGTGTTCTAAGGGAAAACCTGAACAGGTTACGCGATCAAAAAGCTGTGTTACATCATGAAAGGAACTCGTGCTTTCTTACATGATCTATAAGCAATACCTCTGGATGTTGTTGATGCATCGGGGCTTCAGTCTGAAATTCAGTGGTTCCTGTTTTGAGGGTGACCGCTGTTTCTTTAAGGATTTGTTGTTTTGTTAAAGATTACAATATAGCATAGCCTTTTTTATATTATTCTTTTCTTTATTGTTATCGTGTTACAATTTCCTTCAAGGCTTTTACGCGCTTTGGCGGTGAAGCTCACTCAATCAGGAACGCTCCAAAGTAAGAGTGAGCAGTGGCCATGTAAAGTGAGACAGGTGTCGCGGTTAGCAGTGCTATGGTGTCATTAGCCTCAAAATAAAACGCTCCCCCTGCATAGTGGACTCCATCTGGTGCGTTGTCGGAATGTTGAAGCATGGTGATAAGTCCGTGGTGATTCTTGCGAATGGCCACTCTCCCTCTGCCACGAAAGTACAGTTGTGCGTAGACATAATACTCTCCATCTTGAGGCACAGTCAGACGTCCATTACTGTATTTCATGCCGTCCTCGAGACGGCTGTGCGCATTTCCCGCATCCCAGTCTGTAATTACTGTAAGGAAATTTTCGAGTTGACTATTAGTAAAACTGAGAAAGCCGTTGAAGCAACAAGAAAAAAATTGAAACAACCTTGCCCATTGCTATAGGGAGTTAATTGTCTCCCGTTGGCCTCGATGTGAGCCAGAGGCTGACAATGGAACTGCAATAAGATAAAAAAAGGCCAGAATTAGTTATACTGTAGAATATGAAACTTTCTTATCCACATTTGCGGGTACTTGACTACATCTTAATTTTCTAAAAACAAGAGTTTTTGTCTAGGAATATTTTTATAGGAAGAACTATGTCTCAAGTTTTCAAATTCTCCTTTAAAAAAGATTTAGACTAGTCATTTATTTGTGAAAAAAATGCAAAACTGTAGAACTTGATTATGACGGATAGGAAAAACCGTCTGTGATAGAATGTTTAGAACAAATGGCAATCAAGAGTGAACGTCCTCTCACTGAGTGGAATGAAGGGCATAATAGATTAAAGAAGGTGATGAAATTAAATGAAAGTAGGATCGTCAATAAAAAAAATATATCCAATTCTAAATCTAATTCTCACAAGTGAGGGACGAGGAAAAAAAAATCTAACCTTCAACGGGGAATCGAACCCTAAACGTTTTGTTTTCGCAATCCGACGCTTTACCATTGAGCTTCAGAAAATTATGAACAGTTTTTGCACTTGTCTTACCTGTGGCGATGGAGCCGCTTCCACGTTGACGTATATCAGAAAAACACAGGACAAAAGAATCTTCACCCCAAGAAAATTCATGATGTTGGGAATATCTGAGAGATACTGTAGGATGAATTGTTATTGTTCAGAAGGAGTTAATGCGCGAAATCAAAATGGCTTTCTACACGAAACACTACACCAGAAACTGAGCTTACTGTGACTAGTTGTCTCTTGTAAATGTAAGTTCCGAACTGGGAAAGCAAGCAATGTGTCTGCTGTAATAGGATCCTACCAAAGACAACTTCGGAGGAATTGAAAAGCAATTAAGATATTAAACAAACAAGTACTTCTGCCAATTATTTTAAGCGACATTAAAATAATTAAAAGTAATTGAATGGCTTAAAAATTTCTTTAGATAAACAGCAAGAGGAAAGTAGAGAAATTCAAGTATTGCTTTTGTCGTTACAAAAATTAAAATCGATACATTACATCTACAGAAGTTGAAACAAATTTTCCCTTGTACATCTTAAGAGAGGGAGAAAATTGCACTTATTGCTCTTGAAATGTGCTTACTTGGTGTCTTTGGCGGTTTAATTATTTCATTTTTTTCTTCTCGTTCTATAGATATCCCTTATTCGTTTGCTGTGGTCACTCGTGCCTGAGGATAAAATTCGTACCTTTGTCAGCAATGAGTTGACAAAGTTAGCCTGGGATTAGATCTAAGGAGGAGAGTGTTGTGACAAAGGCACAGCGGTAAATATTTCAGATCTATCCGATCATATCAAATGAAATCAGTAAGTTTGTGGTCGTGTGCAACTTTTGCATTCTTTTAATTAAAGAGAAACAAAGACAAATTTGGATGAATATAAAAGCAATTAAGATATTCAAACAAGCAAATACTTTTGTCAGTTATTTTATACGGCACTAAAATAATCAAAAATGACTGAATGGCTTAAATATTTCTTTAGATAAACAGAAAAAAGGAAAGTAGAGAAATTAAAGTATTTCTATTCTCGTTAAAAAATTGAAATCGATTCATAATATACACAGAAGTTCTGATGATTTAACTTGAATGGCTTTGAATGGTTTGGCTTTGAACACATGTTCAAACACAGCAGATGAAATAATGGCCGTCATTACGATAAGCATGCAAGCCAAATACGTAAATTAATGCTGTGTCGTTGAACTTTTCTGTCTTTTCATAGAAAAGAAAACCATTGATGAGGTATGGAATTTATTTTGTTATTTCTCTGCAACTAATAAGTTTTTACAAATACGAAGATTGTTTAAACAATAGACCACACTTTCTATCGGTTTACCGGCGTAATAACCCACACGAGATGTTGGGAAAACACGATAACAATGTGAGAATCACGAGGCGAAGGCGATTGCATGATTTACAAACTTTTCGAGTATTTTCCCGACATCCAAAGCAGTTTATTACGCTGGTAAACCGATGGAAAGTGCGGTCTATTGCTTTTACAAAAAAAAAAAAAGACTTTTAATTATGTCGGGTATACAATTCCACTAGACGATAGGTTTTTGACAAAGTAGCGCGTTCATAGTATTTCTGTGCTTTTATAACTGAAGATAGTTAAACAATGGCTGTTATGGCAGTGGACCGGTGAATTTAATCTTAAATTAATGTCATGTTATTGCAGTTTTTGTCAATTTTTATTTTAAAGAAAACTTTTCATCGTAGGTCGGAATGAGATTGGAAATATGGAATTTATTTTGTCATTATCTGTGAGACTAATTAGTTTTCACCAATGAGAAGATTAATTTTTTCTATCCAAAAGATATTTAGTAATTAAAGAGACAAGAACTCTGAAAGCAATAATTAAGACAATTGATTAACAGTCTTTAATCAAAGGGCTCTTGGAGCCAGCTCATTCTTGTTATGGGTCAAGTTTGAATTGATTTCTTGGACTTGTTGAATATAGGTACAGTTGAGTTCAGTTTATGTGAACTTTAAAGACCTATGGAATAAATTTTATTTTATTTTTGGGAAGTTGTGTGATGAGAAAACTTGTGCATTCGTCGTGATGGGAATTGGAAAAAAGGTTGTGTGGGCTGAAGGTTGGATGGGCAGAGGTCGTAAGGCAGAAAGTGTTCTTTCTGTTAGTGTGTGTGTTTGTGGGGCCGAGGATGGGCTGGGTGGGCATCATCAGGCATCCAATGTTGCTCTAGCAGCAAAATGTTAGTAACCCTCATCTTTCACGATCATTTGCACTATTGTGAAAAATTCCTTGCCCGTTTCTTGATATCTTTTTTTTTTAACAAAGCGGCCCGATTGCATTTGGTTTTTAACAAAGCGGTCACAATCGTTCTTGATAGAATTTCAAGCCTTCAATATGGTCTGATTTTCAAATATTAATATTTGCGTTGTCACCAAACAGACGAGAGATGAAACCACCAGAAAAGTAAACAAATGGCCAGTCACGAAAGCAACGTTTCGCTTTTCCCTATAAAAATTGGCCGGTTCCCCATGTAAGCCAAAAACAATTTGAGGCACATATTTGAAAATCAGTGCGTGTACACCCCTGAACGTTGAAAATATATCAAGTCGAAGGAACAGTTTTGGTCTCGGTTCGCATTTTTGTCAACAAACTGAACACATATCGATTAAAAAGATGAAACGTACTGACCACCTGCAAAGCTGTCAACTAATTCTCGAAAATTGCGCTTGTCAAATATTCAAAAGTGACATCTCATTTATTAAGTTGGTAAATTCTCTACGGACAACCGACTCGCGCGCAAAGTGAGAAGACTATACGAAGACTTGAAATTACGTTAAGAACGACTGTGATCAAGAAACGGCCAAGGAGTATTCCACAACAGTCCAAATAATCGTGAAAGATCATCGTGGAAAAGCGATTTCGTGACGCACCGTAACTTGTAAAATGACATGCTATCACGTATCAGACGAAAAAAACAGTATAAATTCAATAAGTAGTTCTTACACGAGACCTGTTCTTTCAAATCTCCTAAAACTTCTCAGCTAATTCTCAATTAAATTCAGTTAAAGGATTTATGGAACAAATCGTCTTTGAGGATCATTGACATGTTAGATGTAATTTCTAACACTCGTTCGGTGGTCTCTTTCTTCGTTTTCTCTTTTACTACACAAATTACTAAAACGGGAACTAGCTCAGATCTCTCAAGGAAAGTGTGGGTCACCGCTTATAAAGGTGACGCTTACTGAACTGTCAATCTCTAACCTTCTTCATCCTTTTACACCTAATTAGCGAATCACGTTAAGCTACGCAGAGTGGAGTTCGCATACTTAGTAGGAACCTTCGAGATGTTTACGCTTTATAATATCATTTTCTAACCTAAATTTCTTAGTCTTACGGTCAAGGTCGAGCAAAACAAAAACAAGATTGACAATATAAAATTATAATGATCTTACAGGCAGAATTAGAATCATACTTAAAAAGATATCGTAATAGAAATAGTCCTTGAAAACCGTTACATAACAACAGAATAAACAGAAATTTCGGAGAAGAAAGGGCGTATCCAAGGTACCGCCTCTGAAAGAGCTACGTGTTCAGTTAGCGTAAGTTAGCTGACCATAAATTCAGTGCGGATGATGAAAAGTGCTACATGTTTACACCTTAAGTCACCTCTAAGAAAAAGAGGTGTCGAACGTTTTGTAATGAAATTTACAAACTATTTTCCTGATCGGAAATTCCACATGGTTTTAACCTGAAAAACGAGGATAAAAAAAAAAGGTTAAAAAAATATGAGAAAACTTTTTTTTACTTTTTTTATTTCCGGGTAATTCCTGTACGGGATCAATTTTTATGAGAGAAAGTCGTTCTTCTTCGTAATCAACCATCTTTTCGCAAAATAATGGAAATACACCAATATTTAGCCGCAAATTGTAGTTTACGTAGAAACAAATGTCTCCATATCAGTTTCACGATCCCCCTTTTAATGTCTGCTGAGTTCTTAGTCGACAAGTTTGGTATTTCTCATTCTTATAAAAGTGTTGGTTTTTATTATTGTTTAAAGCAGTTGATAACAATCGCATGGCTAAGTGTTTTTGAGTTATTTTGTTATTTTTTTTACCAAAAAAAAACTCTTTGTTAGCGTATGTTACTTTATTAAGGTATGTTATTCGCACCAATCAGATCGCCGCATTGGGGTATGTATCTCACACCAATCAGATTTCCGCATTAGGGTATTATCTCGCACCAATCATATCACAGCATTTGGATATATTGCACCAATTACAGCGTTTGGGTATTGTTTTCTTGTAAATGATGTCATGGAATTAGGCGGCCGTGCACAAAGTATGACATTAACCATAAATTTTGGGCTCTTTTGATAAATGTTGTGGTTGTGGCCTTTGCAAGATTTTCGTCGACTGAAGTAGAGATTCATCGGGATATGAAAGGTCACAGCATTTGGATATATTGCACCAATTACAGCGTTTGGGTATTGTTTTCTTGTAAATGATGTCATGGAATTAGGCGGCCGTGCACAAAGTATGACATTAACCATAAATTTTGGGCTCTTTTGATAAATGTTGTGGTTGTGGCCTTTGCAAGATTTTCGTCGACTGAAGTCGAGATTCATCGGGATATGAAAGGTTCGCATTTATTTTTATTGTATCATTTTTAAGTTAAAACGTGTTTTTCCGCCCCCATTCTCACAACTCACACGTCAAACAACTTGCATTCCATCACGTACTACGAAAACACGCTCAAAGTCCAATCGGAACATACCCAATCATTGCATTACATGAACAGCAGGAAATTTTTTACGTGCCTGAATTGTATTCGACCAATAAAATTCCATTTAGCCACATTAGACTTCGCTCCATCACATGCCATTTCCTTGTAAACAACCAAAATGTTATCACGTATTCTAACCGCTTTATCCAACCCCACTGGGAAAAAACTCACCTGGAACTTAATGCTACTAATGGCGAGTTTTCACGCAATTCTCCCGTGTTTTGACTTTTCAACGGATAAAATCCACTTTTAGCTACCTTGGACTTTACCCAATCGCGTGTTAATTCCTTGTAAATAATATGTATTTTGTCACGTATTTCACACGCAGAGAGCAAAGTCCAGAAAGGCAACAATTTTTATGTCTACCTCTAATAAAATATTCAACTAGAGGCTTTTGGTTTTTTTCACAAAGAAAGTCATCAAAGATAATTAGTTTGATTTTCATCACTTAATTCAGAGACAGGAATAATTTCATCATTGCTAGATTCAATAGCTTCATATCCACATTCTGTACTAATAGGGGCAAATTTTTTTTAGTAATCGAGTGTATTTAGGTTGTTCTAAATTTTTCGAATGCAAATAAATCTTATCATAATACAAAAGTTGGTGAATCATGTGCATAAGAGTATTAGCCTTGCCACAACCACTAGGTCCACAGATTAACATTCTAAAATTATCATTAGGCATAAAAAGACTTTAATTGCTTACATTTTGTCTTAGCAGCGAGAGAATCATAGTTTGGAATGCGCATTTATAAGATTAAAGAATATTCTTTTTTAAGGCATGCAAGACAATTTGAATAACAATATGCACAACAACGCTTAAAAATTAATGTTTTTACTTGGTATATGAATCTCAAAGCATGGCAAGAATATGAAAAAAGACGGAGCGATGTAGGCCGAGCAATTAATCAGGTATATGACAATGTTACAGCAAATATTATATCAACTAAAAACAATGATAATACACTAGCGCAAACTTATCGACCTCTAACCGAAAGATAATATGAAGTGGTAAAAAATACTCGACCCAAAGAACGAGTCAAGATCAAGGTTCGACCCAAACAGTTTTCAGAAGAGATAGATTACAAACCTGAAGTTGATCCATATGAAGACATGGATGTGGAAGGATTAATTCCTTATCAAGACCCCTTCGAGCATCTAGATGTTGAGACATTAGCCGAAGAATCAAAACAAACAGCAGATAGTTCACCACCCTAGGAAGATCCAGAAGAGATAGATTATGCACTAAGTGAAACAGAGTATGAACCAGCAGATGATTTAGAAAAAGAAAAAGATTTAATATCTGAACTTAAACTGTTAAGTTTAATGAAGTACAAGATAAGTTAAATCAACAAGAAGAAGAAGAAGCAAGTGAAAGTCAAGTAAGAAAATACTTAACATAAGTATCAGCAACAGCAGTATACCGATCCAAACAAATAGCTGGATATAAGAGTCATGTAACAAGGGTGAAATCAGCAAAAGTCAAGCTGATATAGAATACAAAAAGCTTGGTGAACGAAAACAAGAGCTGCTGCAATATATCAAATATCATAGGAAGAAATATCCTAAAAAAGGCTCAGGTATCAAACCATTTGGCAAATGAGTCTATTTTTAAAATAATTCTGAAGATCTGCTAAAAAAGTTACAAACCATAGTCGGTGAAATCATGGTAGGCAACACTAGTATTGAAATATGAAATATGGGAGTCTCAATCTTAGAAAGCTTATTACGGAACAATACAATCAACAAACCACAATATAGGAAAATTACTAAAAAATGTTTTTCTTAAAATATATATATAGAACGACACATAGCACTTTCAAGTTTTTCAGTTCGAGGAGAAGGCAATAACCGACCAGGAGATTTTACTGTTAAATTTTCTGAACCTATTGTTCTTGATAGTAATTATCAGTACGAAGTTGGGTTAAATCATGTGATAAGCATGTGATTTTCATGGTTTAACGTCAACTCTGGATATAAAAATCAAACAATTTTTATAGTAAAGATAATGGCGACAGTTTTACAAATATAAATTTTGCTTCAGGTGTTTGGACAAATGGAGACTTTGACCGATACATTAAAGAACTAACAAAGACATAAATGCAGATGGTGACGATGTCTATCCAATAAGGTTAACCTTTGATGATCCAACTTTTTGTGTAATAATTAATCTTGCTGATGATTATCAATTAGATTTGACTATATCTAAATTGTATGCTACCAATTAAATTACATTTAGCCACATTAAACTTCGCTCCCTCATCTGCCATTTCCTTGTAAACAACCTGAATTTTATCACGTATTCTAACCGCTTTATCCAACCCAAACTGACCTGGAACTTAATGCTACTGATAGTGAATTTTCCACGCAATTCTCCCGCGTTTTGACTTTTCAACGGATAAAATTCGCTTTTAGCTACATTGGGCTTTACCCAATCGCGTGTTAATTCCTTGTAGATAATCTGCATTATATCATGTATTTCACACACAGAGAGCAAAGTCCAGAAAGGCAACATCCAATCAAGGAGCCCTCTTTGAAATATTATCCTTTTCTCTTGTTCCATGTATCTTCACTTATTCGAGATCGCAATATACCTTTGGGTGGGGACTATTGGAGATACAACAGTTTTATTTCGCTTTCCGTAGTAAAATTACATGGAGTTATATTTTTGAGGCGTCTAACTATAGACCAATAATTCTTATTTTCTTTATGTCAGAGGAAATCAAAATTGTTGTAAACGCAGTCCCTTTTTTTGACTCTTTTGCAACCGTTATTTGGTCCCGTCACCCAATGGCTCTCTCCAACGGGGAATAAGGGACATTGTGTGACGAGATCAAACAACGGCTCCTAAGGAGACTACAGTAAGCGTGATAACGATGCATTTTATTTCTGCTCAGAAGTGTTTAGACAACAGAGACAATAGACCACGAAATACCTGTGTGAGTTAAGATAAATTAGGCTTTTTCTCTTTCTCTTATGCGATGTTTTTTTTTCCGAACAGAATTAAGAGACAAAATGATTCAAGAAACATATAAACCGGTACAGAATCCAGGAAGACAAGAGATTTTCTTCAAAGAGAGACTGTTTACCGGTAACTAGGATTCTACCATGAAACTATGAAACCGTTTTGAAGGAAAAACCTGGACAGGCTACGTGATCAAAAAGCTGTGTTATATCATGCAAGGAACTCGTGCTTTTTTTGCATGAACGGTAAGCAATGCCGCTGAATGTTGTTGATGCATCGGGGCTTCAGTCGGAAATTCAGTGGTTCCTGTTTAAACTGTGACCGCTGTTTCTTTAGGGATTTGTTGCTTTATTAAAGATTACAACACAGCATAGCCTTTTTGATATCATTCTATTCTTTATTGATATCATGGTACACTTTCCTTTAAGGCTGTTACGCGCTTTTGCGGTGAAGCTCACTGAATCAGGAACGCTCCAAAGTAAGAGTGATCACTCGACATGTAAAGTGAGACAGGTCTCGCGGTTTGTATATCTATGGTTTCACTAGCCTTAAAATAAAACACTCCCCCTGCATATTGGGGTCCTTCTGGTACGTTGTGGGGATGTTGAAGCATGGTGATAATATCGTGGTTATTCTTGCGAATGGCCACTCTCCCGCTGCTGCGAAAGTACAGTTGTGCGTAGACATAATACTGTCCATCTTGAGGCACAATCAGACATCCATGACTGTATTTCATGCCGCCCTCGAGATGGCTGTGCCCATTTCCCACATTCCAGTCTTTAATTGCTGTAAAGAAATTTTCGAGTTGACCATTAGTAAAACTGAGAAAGCCGTTGAAGCAACAAGAAAAGATTGACACAACCTTGCCCAGCGCGATAGTGAGTTAATTTTTTCTCGGTGGCCTCGATGTGAGCCAGAGGCTGACGATGGACCTATAACAAGATGAAAAAAGGCGAGTATTAGTTTTATACTGTAGGATATGAAACTTTCTAACCCACATTTGCGGGTACTCGACTACATCTTAATCTTCTAAAGACTAGAGTTTTTGTCTATGAATATTTTTATAGGATGACCTACGACTCAAGTTTTTAAATTCTCCTTTGAAAAAGATTTAGATAAGTCATATATTTTGGAAGCAAATGCAAAACTGTAGAACTTGATTATGACAGATAGCAAAAACCGTCTGTGGTAGAATGGTTGAAATAGATAGCAATGCCTGAAATCAAGGAATGAAGGACATAAGTTATTAAAGAAAGGTGATGAAATATAAGCTGGATTGTCAATGAAAAAATATACGAGTATTAACTTCTTACGAGTGAGGGACAAAGAAAAAAAATCTTAATTCCAACGAGAAATCGAATCCTGAACGTTCTGTTTCCGCAATCTGACGCTTTATCATTGAGCTACAGAAAATTCTGAACAGTTTTTGCACTTGTCTTACCTTTGGCGGTCGAGCCGCTTCCACGTTGGTGTATATCAGAAAAACGCAGGACAAAAGAATCTTCACCTCAAGAAAAGCCATGATGTTGGGAATATCTGAGAGATACTGTGGAAGGAATTGTGATTGTTTAGAAGGATTTTCACACGAAATCAGAATGGCTTTCTAGACGAAACCTTACACCAGAAACTGAGCTTGCTACTAGTTTTCTCTTTTAAATGTAATGCCGGAGCTGGGAAAGCAAGCAATGTGTCTGCTGTAATAAGATCTCTTCTCTGAACGATCGTCTGAGAATTGCTACATTACTCTCCAATTGCCATATTAACATCCATTTTGTGGAATGGCTGCAGATGATTGATTGTATGAACTGGAATAGTATTATGCATATGTATTGGGAAATATTCCTCGCACAGAGGACTTACGAAGTGCTAAGGGACACTCCCATCTTAAAACCATAAACAAATTGGAATTTTTAGACTGAACTCACCTTTGGAAAGGCTTCAGTAGACGCAAACTGTATGAACTCGGCCAAGTAATGATTACATTTGCTCGATAAGCGCCCAGTTATACAAAACACCCTTTCCAAATTTGGAAACATCTCTTTTCAAGTACCAAGGCATCAGTTGACGCAAAAGGTTAAGTAGTTCCAATTTTGAGGGTGCCAGCACATTTTTCATATAAGAAAGTAAGAATTATACCCAAAAGTCTTTTAGCTGTCTACTAATGTTTAATAAAAATATTTTTTTATGTATAGAAAATATTTAATGAAATGATACTGTCAACAAAAATATTTTTCATTTATTTATTGACAGATATTTTAAATTTTATGTATATAGATATCTTTACTCTATTTGGAGTATTGTTGATTTTTTTGTCGACAGATTATTTAAAGAACGATAAAAATCAAGACTAATATTGTTTAACTTAATCATACCCAATACTGCACGGATTGAATTTTTAAATGAAAAATCAATATCTGACGCAGACAATTTGTTTAAAGCAATATTTAACATCTTGAATAGAAGTTAAATAATCTTTAAAATCACCATATTCATTGCTTAAAATAAAACATGCAATATATAATCGAAAAAAAAAAACGGTTTCAAAATCCAACTTTTCATCACTAGCAATTTTTTCTACTTGTGATTTAAAACCAATTAAGTCTAATAGAGTATCTATGAGATGTTTTTCCATATAAATTATAACATTAATCGATTTTTTCTATCAACAAATTAAGGGTGCCAACAATTAAAAAAGGCTTTTAAGGCTAGTTGGATCTGATCGATTTGGGAAATTAGAAAAACATGTAAATGCGGCACCATTTGTTCCAGCAATATCTAACTGATTATTAACTGTAAAACAGACAAACTTATCATAACCCCCATTATCATGACCAAAGGGACCATTAGAACGATTACCAGGTCGACTACTTGTTGCTTGATTAAGTTTGTAGACAATAAATACGTTCACAATATCATCTTCTCCAGCTGCTGGATTTAAATTGATATCCGAAATCATTCTTTGTGTACCATCGAATTTAATAAAATATATCTTATTGTTACGTTTATCTGGAGTACAAAGAGTAGGTCTTAAATTTAAATTTGTGTGATTTGCATGATTTCCTATAAGAGTCTGATCATAAATAGTCTGAACTTACCATTTGAGTCTATTTTAACTTCACTTGATAATCCTCTATCAATTCGATAAATACTAGTAGCATGAGTTGTGTAATACTCCCAAATTAATGTTTCAGCCAATATTTTGTCTATATTTTTAATTATATTTGCTTCTACAGTTGCATTGTTATCTGATACAGCCTGTTTGACGTATTTGACATAACTTGCATAGTTATCATTATTGCTTTGTGGGGGATCAGGAAGATTAATATTGTTATTATTATTCAAAATCAAGATCACCAGACGTCTGGTTGCTTCCATTAACTAAAAGTGAATCAACAATATTTTACTTTGTTGCTAATTGACTATTAACAAAATAAACTTCTGCTTTATCATCTAATTTTGGTTGTAATACTGATCTTCTTTTAATGCAAGATTATTAGTAACTGTCAATGTATCTGCTTTTAATGCGAGATTATTGTGAAGATTAGAGATATTGGCATTTAGAGTCGTCAAGCTGGCTTTTTTAGCTAATTTATTATGAACATGTGTTGTATTAGCTTTGAGTTTTAATTGATCAGTCAACCCTTTAGCTCCCAAGATCTGTTTGTTAATTCTCCCATGTAGCTGCTACACATTTCCTTGTAAATAAGTTATGAGAACTTGGTGCTATATCAAGCTAGCAGCTTCTACCTGATAAATTTGAATATTCTCATCATCTGTTTGCTGAAGAATGTATGGATATTGTAGGGAGAAGTTTTATGTTGATCACTTCTGGGTAAGGGGTTAACTTTTTTTTGGTAACCGCATCTGCGTCATCAACAGGAGTCTCGAGATTAGTTAATCTACGACTATCAAGATCAAAATGGTTATCTTGAGTCAATTTAAAACCATCACCCTTATCTCCCTTGTCTCCTTTTTCACCAACTGTTTGAGATTGTCTCGAATTCAATTGACCATTAGTATGTCCCATATATAATTCCAATAACAATTTTTTTAGATTGCACTCCCATGTAGTTTTTCATATTTTATTATATTGTCAATGACTTTAGCACTATAACCTTTATAAAAGCCAAATCTCTTTAATCCGGCTGAGTTGTTAAAGGTCATGCCAGTGACATTAAAATTATAACTGTTTGAAATGCGAATGGTTGACACTTCAGCGGATTCTAGGAGAGTTAGTTTCATCTCTCTATGTTATAGGTTAAAATAAAGGGACATTGCTTATCTCTGTGGCTAGCAGGAAGAGTTTTTGTCTCATCTCTGAAATTACCATCATCTTTTAACAAGTTGAATTGATAGTAAGCACCATTTATGATAAAAGACAGTGCAAAAGTTGTCTTTCTTTATCATTTGTCTTTACTGATAATAATCCTCTGTGAACAACAAATAACATGATAAAAGAGTCGTTTTGATTAAAAGACACAGAAATTGTAAAGTTATTTTTATTGAGACCAGTTGTTGTCAACTCGCTATTAGCAATACCCAGAGTAAATATTCCATCTACTTTATTGTTTTTGTAACTAGAGAAATGTGTAAAATCAACTACAGAACTATCTTCCGCATAAAACGTACTTTTCAAAAAGTTATTTGCTGCCAAAGCAGCAATGCTGTCATCAAAAATATGTTTTGTAACTGGATTCTGAGCGGAAGTTGCATCCGAGACTTCAATGGGAATATTAAAAAATATGCCATTGTTTGTGTGTCGATAAAGGAAGTCCCAAACTGAAACCGGAACATCATTGTGGTAACCTTTTGAGCCATAAACGACCACCCAGATTGGTAATTTATTACCATAACTACCATTGAATTTAACCACAGTATCAAATATCAAATAATTAGGCGCAGCATCATTGAATTTCGAGAGATGAACAATAGTTCGTGTATTGTTTTTGAAAATATTAGTTGAGACTTTAGAGGTGACTTCAACGGAACTGGTTGCGGTTACCGATACTTGATTGACTTTACTATTTTCCCAAAACATTTCAAAGACAATAGAATATTCAGACTTATCAGCACTATACAAGTTAACCCCAATTCTACTGCTATAAAAACCTTTGTTTAAATCTAAGATGAGATCAAAGGTTTTGTTACTTTATTAAACTTGTGAAAAACCACCCCGATTAGACAGAAACTCATCATTAACCTATTTCAAGTTAACTACTATACTATTGTCATTGTAATCAGGAATGACTATTTTACTCTTAAAAGTTTGAGTATTAAGAGTATTAAAGTCAGCCTTTTTGGCTACTTCAGCTTGAAGA